TTACAAGAGGGAAGAATGTTGGTAAGGGTAAGAGCAAGGTTGGTGCATATTTAAATAATCTAGAAGATGTGTTATCCTTGGTTGATGAAGAGATTTTATAGTTCTTTGACAACAAATGTCGAGGTAGAATTATGGCCAAACAACACTACTACAAAGTTAGAACAGTTGAAGACCTTGATATTCTAGGAATAATGAGTTGTGTGAATCATTAAGGCATCAACTATTTCTTGCAGTTCGCTCGCAACTACAATGAAGACTTGACTTGCATATTCCATGTGGGTTTACATAATTGTAAGGTGTATCAATTTACAAATACTATGTGGAATATTTGTTTCGCATCACCATAGGATATGAGAATGTTGAGCCCTTGATATCTGATCTCAATGCTCACTCATAATTTAATTGGAGATTGCATTAGAATGAATAGTTAGAAGCACCGTGCGATAACGACAACTTTGATAATGTGACCACAGGCCATCTAAAGCAAGTGCCTCACATCTGGCATTAGATAGTTTCTCACATGCTACATCAAAAGAGTGATGGGTTCTCTAGAGTTGATAATACTGAAACACACCTTATCTGCATCCTTCTTAACATGATCAAGATAAATTGGCCATATTATTTTGTGTCTCAGATGTTTGCAATCAAAAAGTGCAATAAAGGTAGTTCATTCTGCTACGCTTCTATGATTGCCAAAATCCTCAACTTCTTTAACATTGAGGTTCCAAATCTTGTGTACATCTCACAAGGTGTTGGTCAAGAATTCACTCAATGAACTCTGACAAATATGAGGTATCTGTGGGATACGGAAAAGAAGGTGTCTTATTTTCAGGTGTCGGGATTCAAGAAGAAAGTTTACAATTTTGATGATCCTACTGAATTTGAGGATCATGTAAATGATAATGTCATTGATGAAAAACAAATTGGTAAGGCTCCTCAATAGATGTCCATATGCCGGATGGAAATTATGAACATGATGTGGTTTGGATGAATGTTGTTGCATATCAACAGAATAAGGGTGAACAGGGCTGGCGTCAATGGCCACAGCATGCTTGGACACAACAAGGAGAAGACTACATGAAGTTTGATACAGGTTCTCATGATTTTTCTTCCGGTTCACAAGGGAACATGTATGGATCTGGTTCTGCAAATGAAATCGTTGTCATCACTATGCTTCAGAATATGTAACTGCAGAAAAATCAAAGGTATGAAGAAGAGCTACGTTGGAGATCTGATTTTCAGGCTACTCATAATAAACAAATTAGACAGACTTGTTCATGAGCACATGACCACTCAGGATACAAACTTTGACGCTTTTTCATCTTTTGCTACTGCACAGTTCAAGTCAATCCACGATGAGATTAGCTCCAATAATGATGCCACCCAAATCAAAATCAATAACATGGTCAGCACCTCAACACGCAATCATGAGGGTTCTTCACAATTCAACCAAAAAATGCATGGTTGTATGGAAAAGGGCGTGAGAACTTATCAAAGAGGCTATAGAGGTCCTAAGGGTCACTGATCATTTGTGTCTTCCTTTTGGTTGTTTGTCTAAGAGTTTGTTTGTTATATTTCTTCATGCATTTCATGACATTTTCACTTGTGTTTTGAACTATTTTATGGTTGGTTAAGTTGTATGAACAAGTTATGCATTTTGCTTTAATTATGCTTTGTTGGACAATTTGGTTTAAAATTGTCTTCTATTTATGTTTGATTGGTTGATTTTTGTCATTCCATATATATGGGTATATGTGAGTGCATGTTCTTATTTTGCAAAAACGCATGTGTATGATACATTGGTATTTGTTTTGAATTATGATACTTCTCATGAACTGCTTTGTCTCTTTTTGATATCAAATGGGGAGAAGCATATGTGAGATGAAGTTGGGAAGCACTCACTCAGGGGAAGCATCAAATAGAGACACGAAATGCATCGTTGCAGTTTTTCCATCATGAAAAAGGGGGAGTATGTGAGTGCAACTTGCCTTTAGATGTTTTGCATGATGTCCAAACTAGGAGAACTTAGCATTTTGTTATATTGGACGATATCTGAGTCTTTTTGGTACACCCTTGCAGTAGAAGTCTTAGGAAACACCTGTAACAAATTTGGGATAGGTATCAAACATGAAAAATCATTTCCTGCATAAAAGACACTTGCATGTGCCGGCACATCCGCATTTCAGGTCGGCACAAACTGAAGTTCTCGATTATATGTGTCGGCACATACGATTTCCAGGCCGGAACATGTATTTCATTATTAAAGCATGTAGCTTCTATTTTGCATGTGTCGGCACATAACTCATTTCAGGTCGGCACATACTGAAGTTTTTAACTCTATGTGTCGACACATTCACTTTTCAGGCCGACACATTCTGGTTTCCCTCTTTGCCACCAAATCTCCACAACTATAAATACATCATACATGTTTAATTTCAACTTGATGAAACTATAAACACTTATCATCATTGCTCTTCATCTTCAACCTCCAACCTATGCATACACACTAACAAACTACACATAATAATTTTTTGTTGGGGTGTCATCTAGACGAGGTTTGATAATGTTCAATTAGGTTTGTGTAACCAAGAATATTGGGTTGAGAATTGTGGAGGGTTTCATCCATACAAAAATTAGGATTTGTCCTCCAATATATTTGGTAGATTTGGGGGTTTTGTTCAAGACTTTGCAATAGTGGATTCTTCTGAGTGAAAGCTTTGAAGATTTTGTATCTTGAAAAGGAGTTGCGTGAGACAGTGGATCGTATTGGAAATTCTTGTGGTCAATAGTTCGCAATTGAATTTGATCGATTGAAAGCTTTGGAGATTGGGTATATCGCAAAGGAGTAGCATGAAATAGTGAATAAATTGAATTTATTGTGTCTTGGTCTTTTTCAAGATCAAAAGAAGAGAAGAGTTTGAATTAACAAAAAACGGTTAGGGTAGGGTTGCTCTTGGAACACTTCTCTTGTAATTAAATTTTTGTAAAGTAAGATTGATATCTCAATTCAATTGAAATTGGGGGCAGACGTAGCCATAGCAAGGACGGATTGGTGAATTTCCTAAACAAATCTTTCTCTATCTCTCTCTCTCTCTCTCTCTCTCTCTCTCTCTATCTCTCTCTCTCTCTCTCTCTCTCTCTCTCTCTCTCACACACACACACACACACACACTCATTTACTTATTATATGCAATTTGTTAAACTTATTGTTTGATCGGCCGATTCGTATAGAATTTTTCTTTGATTGTTAAAGTTCAATTTTCTTTGTTTATTAGCTTATAATCACTTTGATTGTAAGTTCTTTTTAACATCAACAAAGCTCAAAGGAAAATCTGAAAATTGATCGCGTGTCAAATGTTCGATAAATTGCAAAGTTTCGTTTTATACATAATTTCATTGGAAATAGGTAACTGTTGTGATTTGTGATAAACGATTAATTGAGATATAATTGTGTTGAGTTTTTTAATCATTTTTTTAATTCGTCAAAACTCTCTGATATCGTTCCTCGAAACGACTCCTAACTCATATTTGTAATACTATGTCACAGGTGACTCTATCTACAAGTAAACTCTTTGGCCTATCGCGATCCTATCTACAAGAAGAGCTCCACTAGGGGGCTTCAACTATACTCGACTGAAAAGCTAAAAAAGGACCTTCATTAGGGTGACATTTATAATAGACGAAAAGCTACAAAAAGTCAAAAGACCTTTGTTTGGGGCAACAACTCTAGTAACCGTATCGCCCCTAAAGGATCGCACACTTGGGGGATTAGGTACATCCAGATTTAAGAAATCGGGATGGGGTCTCCTCCTGCTAAGAATCAGAAGCATCTCGACCTTCCGAGAAGAAGAGTAACTAGTACTTAAGTGAATCGCACCTAAAGGGCCTCACGCTTGGGGGGCTTATGTACGTCCGGATATATATCTCGGATAATCTACCAAGACACTCGATAACTTAAGCGTCTCGGCCTTACCAGGCCTCACACTTGGGGGACTTATGTACGTTCGGGATGTATATCCCGAATAATCTACCAAGACGCCTGATAACTTAAGTGTCTCGCTCTTACTAGGCCTCACGCTTGGGGGGCTTATCTGCGTCTGGGATGTATATCCCGATAATCTACCAAGATGCCCGATAACTTAAGCGTCTCGCCCTTACCATGCCTCACGCTTGGGGGGCTTATATATGTCCGGAATATATATCCCGGATAATCTACCAAGCCGCCCAGCTACATCCAAGACGCCTGATTTCAGTCGACCATTAAGACCATGAACATGAACATTATAACCACTCAATGTCATTTATGATCTCAAAGCGACAAGGGAACCATCACCATGATGACCATAAAGACGATTAAATTACTCTATGAAGTACCATATATTATAAATACGCAGCTCTAAGAAAGAGGAAGGCAATCAATTCTTAAACAGAAAAACCTAGCAACACTGCGATTTCTCCCGACCAACTCCGGGAAAGTTATCACATTGTTCTTCAACAACAATATATAAATCCAACAATTCTTCACATTTTTATTAAGAGATATATATTTAATTAAATAAACAATGACCAGAGGCAGAATGTCCAAATATGCTAACTAATCTTGTGCTTCTAAAAAAGTGTGTGCTGTCTTGTTGTATTACTGATTGGCTGATCTAGATACAACTGATTACAGGATCTATTGCTCTACTGGCTAATCACTTTCCTACTTTTGTTCCAAAATGTTTGCACAAAACAGAAAAAAGCGTCATCAAATTAAACACTAAGAAATTAATAAATGAACAAGAAGCATTTATATATAATTATTGATATAGAAAAGCTTGTATCAAACGTTATACAAGAATCTATAATTCTGTTAAAGAAAAAGAAGGAGAGAGAAATAAAAAAACTCAAAGATAAGAAACTTTGGTTCTTTTTTGTGTGTATTTATAAGCAATGATGGTTGTGATGAGTGAAAACACTTTTACAGAAACTAGAAGAAGAAGAAGAAAAGAAAGAAAACTATGTCACCAGTTGGATTACCACCAGGTTTCAGATTTCATCCAACTGATGAAGAACTTGTCAATTATTATCTAAAGAGAAAAATCAGTGGTCAAGAGATTGAACTTGATATCATTCCTGAAGTTGATCTTTATAAATGTGAACCTTGGGAATTAGCAGGTTCTATACTTTCTTTCTTTTATTTTTCATATACCAAATTTGCACATTCACATGTTTTTACTCTCACAAATCAATATCATGCAAGAAAGTGTGTATAAGTCATGCCATTAATCTGGTCATTAAAGACCTTGGTGCAACTTTCTAAAATATGAAAATGTCACATTATTGATCATATGGATTCAAAGTTCTATTTACAAACATGAAAATCTTGTCCACTTTCAAAAGCCTAAAAATCGGTTTACCTAGCACGGTCACCCTAGCAGAAAAAAAGATGGTTTTAAATTGCGGTTACAGTAGAACAGTGAAATTTGATATTTAAATTATTGCATGCAAATGCATGGTTGATGTGACAACAATTATCGTTGCAATTATATTTTCAAGACCTCTAAAACCTTTATACTACGGTCTCAATTGCGGTTGCATACGACAATTTAGGAATATGCTAAGAAAATAAAACCACATGATGTACAATCTTTATGAATCTATATACATGTATGTGTGTGGATTTTCCATATTGAGTGATTTTTTTATTATGGAAACATTTTTTGCTATGGATATAGAGAAATCGTTTTTGCCAAGTAGAGATCCAGAGTGGTATTTTTTTGGACCAAGGGACAGAAAGTATCCAAATGGATTCAGAACAAATAGAGCAACAAGAGCAGGTTACTGGAAATCAACTGGAAAAGACAGAAGAGTTTCATGCCAAAATAGACCTATTGGTATGAAGAAGACTTTGGTTTACTATAGAGGAAGAGCTCCTCAAGGAATTAGAACTGATTGGGTTATGCATGAGTATCGTCTCGACGATAAAGAGTGTGAGGACAACTCTGGATTACAGGTACATATAATATAACTTATGCATACTTGCGCGTAAATTGAGTCCTCTACACTCGACTTGACGGTGCAATGTCATGCAATGCAACTCAAGTTTAAAATTATGTTTGTAGCAATTCTTGTGTAAAAGAATTTAGTTAAACATAACAAATAAAAAACTTCAAACATATCAAAATTTTGATTTAAAAGATTATGTTTTTACTGTTAGCTGTCATTTTAAGGTTGTAAAAGATTGTCCATTACCGCGAAAATGATCGGGAGATGTCGATACAGATACTAGATACTGTTATTCATTGTTTTTAAGATAAAGAACAAATTTTGATTAATTCACACCGCAAGGCCCGTAAGTGCAATTGCACCCGCAATGTTGACGTCATTATAGGAACTGCATGATGTTTCTGTTCTACTCAAAACCAGTCTTTGGTGCCCACCTGACCCTTTACCTACTTTCACAACTCTCTTTTTTTGCTTGTGTATATGCACACTTGTCACCATATACTTGATTTGAAAAAGCATGTAGTTTGATTCTTAACACACATTAACAAAAGCGTTTTCATACTTTTCTCAGCTATAATCACAGCCACATACTGTAGAAACACATTGAATAGAACTTGAAATTAGAGAGAATTTACTTAACTATCCAAGAGTTTAGTTAATTTGGACAATAGTAGAACGTGAAAACTGCATGGTGTGCATGGAAAGCTTCAACTTTTCTAGTTGCATAGTTTTCTCTCTCTTCTCTTATGCATATTACTTTATATTTGTTTATTATAAGGTCCTCTATAAAACGTATAACTGACATATTCTTTACTTGTGATCCTATAATATCTCTATATGACAAAGTTCTATTCTACTGCATCTTCTGATTTCTTTTGTTAATCTAATGAGACAAAAGTCTTATACCTACTTAATACTTATGATCCCTATCATCACTTTCTTTTCTCAATTCTTGTCATTCTTACTATTAGATTCTTCTGATAAGCCATGAAGGCTTGTACACCTTCATAAAGCAGCAATTCTCATATCCTATCACTTTCATTTTATGTCGGTTACTTTTTGCTTTATTCTTGTACACAAAATTAGACCAATAAATACTATATACTATAACACTATACTCAAAAACTAAAAATAAAATAAAGCTAGTAAGGGATATAGTGAAACACTTCATCACCAACCAAATAAGCTGAAAATAGACTAATGTTATAAGTTTTTTTCATAAGTTTTTTTTATATGTGATGGACGACTAGACACCTCTCCTCTTACAAATCTATTTTATAGCGTTGAGTTAAGTCGAATTCAAATTCTATGATATCTAATGCAATATATTCTAATATGTGACTATGTGAGTAACCTAAAAGTATCTTAAAGTTTCCACTTGATTACATAGTAGTAATTATTGTTACTCTTAAATAAGAAACATGACAAAAACATTTAGCATCTTTGAATCTTTACTCCACAGACTTGTTTAGACACTGTCCTATAGGGTTTTAACACACAGTGTAGAACTGTTTAGGCCACAATTGTTGACTATGCACTATACACTAAGATTCCGTTTGAAAACAGCTTATAGACAATGTGATAAATTGTTTTTGTAGACTCTTTCTAAGAATTTATTTTGGTAGATAAATTCAAATAAGTCAATTCAACCAGACTTTTAATGAAATGATTGCAATGCAGGATACCTATGCATTGTGTCGCGTGTTCAAGAAAAATGGAATTTGTTCAGATATGGAAGAGCAACAAGCGCAAGTACAATGTAACATGTCACTGATAGAATGCTCCCAAACCATAATCAATGAGTGTGAAACGATGTCTCCAGACATACTTGGTGCATCATCTTCATGCTTAGAAGAGGAAGACAAAGATGATTCATGGATGCAGTTCATTACAGAAGATGCATGGTATTCTTCTAATGCAGGAATGGTTGGTGGTGAAGAAGTTTCACATGTTACATTTACAAACTAATATTTTCAAGACTCAGTGGAAATCAAGATTGGCGGTGGTGAATGAAATAACTTGAAAGCTGAATATATAATTAAATATATACACATTTTATCATATATATGATATAATAAAATATTTATATACCTTACCATAACTGTTAATTAGTAAGAGATTTAACTTTTGTATTTTTTTTTTCTTCTGATTTTTATACTTATAATTGGTGATGATGGTTTGGTTTGGTTGGTGGACTTGTTTAGGGTTCATATTATAAGGCATTGGTTTTTATATATTCATTTTTGTACTAAACCTCTATCTCTGAGGTATATTGGTGTTACTTGTGGAATAATGATAAATCACACAAGTGTTAGTCACATTGTATTTCTCTCTGAGAGAATTATATATAACAAAGAGCATAACAATTTGGCAATATGTGTTTTTCAGTTTATTATTGCAAAATTGATTTAGTTTATAATCGTATTTGATCAGAATGGACCGTCACAGCTTACGTCGAGCTGAATTTGAGAGTGAGGTGGAGGTACCTGCAAGACACTCTGATGTTAAAGTGAGATTCAGAATGAGCAAGCAAATAAGAGAGTGAGAAATGTTCAATATCTAACCCTACGAAAGAGAGAGTATTTATAGCCTTCAGCGCTGGGTCAAGATCTCTTCATTAGACTGGTCAAGCAGGCGCAAAGTGGAGACTGCCAGGTCCTACGTGAGTAGTGGGGACCAGCACGTGGTCTCCCACCTGGATGACTTCCTCTGCAAGATCAAGAGGATATGGATGCGGTCTTTCCGGGGCCACGAAGACTGTGATATTTGGAGACGTTGATAGTCAGTCCTACGAGGAGGATGCTCGTGAGGTGCTTCTGCTTGTCGTGGATGCTCCCTGCCAGACGCGAGGTCGTGTGAGGGGATCATTCTTGGTCACTGAGAGCATCAGAAGATGACCTCGAGGTCCTCCTAACCGGCGATGATCTTCCTAAGACTACTTGGATTTATCCCCGTGTGATGAGGTTGCCTCCTTGCATAGAGTGGAAGTTGCTGCCTGACACAGTCAAGGGAAAAACTGGTCAGTATGCCTTGACCGACATAATTTGGTTTGGCCTCACATGGAGTTGGACCAAGGGCAGGCCCAGTTTAGAACAGGAGTCCTCCAAGTCGTTGCTCCTGATGAAGGAGTTATGACTTAAGTCCAGCTTTTTCTTTTACAAGGTGTGTTACTCGACGATGATCTTTCATTATGTTGACGGAGAAAGTCGTCGATATATGGGTTCACCCGAGCATCATTCAGAATGGACTCGAGATGGGGTCATTATAGTCGAGTGGAGGAGAAATCCAGTGGGGTGTAAGCGCGTGGCGTGACCTTTGGGATTGTAATGGTGGCCTGGGGAGTAGGGGTCATCATTAGTTGAGCGCGTAGGTGTCGAGGAGAAAGGGGGTTGTTGAGCTGCCTGACGCGATATTTCGCATTCCACGCCAGCTCTATATATAGCGCCCTAAGGCCCATTATTCACATTTACATTCTCGGGATCTTCAGTCTCTCTATTGCCAACACCGTTTCGTTTTCTTCAACAGCTAACGCCACCGCTGAATCCTCTGCGTGTTCTTCATTTATCCTCATTATTCCTCATCTATTCTTGTTCAAGTAAGTATTTTTTGTGATACTCTTATTTAGATTGGCTTTGATGATGTTTAAGTTGTAGAATTTCGCACCTGGGAGATTTTGCTCGGGGTATTCATGCGTACTTCTTGTGTTTGAGTCCGTGTTATTCATCTTTTCACTGACACTTAGGTGAATTTACCTCGTGGTCTCCATACATTCCCGCAAAATTCATGAATTTTGCACAAGAAATTGATGAAATCCCCGGAGAAATCATGATTTTGGCTTGCAAATTCATATTTTGCTCGTTGTATTCATCATGTGCCCGAGGTGTTCATGAAATCAAGCGTTCGTCATTATAACCGATGTGTGGTATTATAAGACTGGCATGATTTTCATGCCCTGATAGAGGGCCATGTACTTCCCCTTTTTACCCGAGTGAGTGTCGACTTGGTCTGGGTGCCGCATAACCTTTTCACCTGCATCGTGGAGGGATGGATTTGGATTTGTTGTCAAATTCACTGGTTTCCTCTGCTTTACAGGTAAAATGGCTGACACTCCCGAATCTTCCGAGCACATGGACATTGAAGAGACCAGTATAGCCGAGGAGGGTGTCAACTTGGTTGACATGGCCGATGATCTTGCATTGGCTTGGGTCGGGGCAGAGCCTCGAGGAATAGACTCGATATACAGTTATAGTAGGAAGCAGGCTTACACTATCGTCGAGTATGGCGACGATCAGGAAAGTTTCAAAAGGAACTTCAAGATCTTGCGACCGACGCCCACCGCTCGAATATGCTCGGAGTTCGAGGAAGACTGCTTCCCCATGTACGAGGTCGTATTCAAAGAGTTGGGGCTTCACCTTCCCTTCAATATTTCCAGGTGGGGGTGTTCAATCACTTGAACCTAGTACCCTCTCAACTTTACCCCAACGCCATTGCCTTCATTCGGGAATTCGAGATTACTTTCTGATTCATGAGGATTAGGGCGACCATTCCCCTGTTCTTCAGGGCTTTTCATCTACAACAGCAGTCCCGGGGTGGGAAACACAGTTGGATCTCCCTTAAACAGTCGAAGAGGTTGTTTAGGATGTACATGGACTCTGTCCGTGACTTCAAAGACAGATGGTATGTCGTGCAACCTACTACTTAGGTAGTCGTGGACTCCGTGTTCGACCCAGCCTCCGTTGTGGATGAAAATGGTGAACCGTATTATGATGCAGAGGGTAACCCGAAGGTTGGGCGACTCTCGAAGTTTCCCATCCATTGGTGTTCGGGCCACTATGATCATGGTCCTGGGCATTACCATACTCCCGCCAGCGGCATGAGCATTGAGGACGAAGAGGCCTATGGCGTCCTTAATCGATTCTTCGACGGGTTCTTCCCCACCAGGTGGGTCACGAGGGAAGGACATGACAACCTCAATGAAGATGGTGAGCCGATGTTCGAGGTGCGCCCGATCAACACCAAGGCGCTCGTTGAGTGTCGTTCTTATGAGAAAGTCATGGATCTCTTAGGTTTCTGCTCGCTTTATTTTACTATATCTTTACTTCTTGACTTGACTTCATTTATTTTCCCGTCGAGGCTGACCCGAGGATACCGTTTTTGTTTTTGCAGGTAACATGGCGGAGCACCGTGAGAGATTGTTGAAACTGACCCAAGAGAAAAAGAGCCATAAGAGGTTGGTGAAGCTGCGTCAGGCTACACGCATGGGTTCAGTCTCTGAACCGGTCAAGGAGGGATCAAGTGGGTCGTCGGGCATCCGTGATGTTGATCAGCAAGCTGCTGTTTTGAGCAAGAAAAGGAGTCGCCCTGAAGGTGGGGTCGTTGATGTGACTGGGGGAGAGGCGACTACCCAAGCCTTCAGCCTCCCGCCTTGTTTCGTGGAGAAGGATTTCTTCGAGGGCTTCCCTCTGACTGTGTCCGACAATGAGGCCGACATCATAAGGCGACTCGACGAAGAGGGTCAAAGGAAGCATCTGGCTTCCAGTATGGTCGGGATGATGAAGGTAGCAGAAATGGTTGTGGTCCTTGCGAGCGAAGGGGCCAACTCCTCTGGTTGGGTCAAGGAACTGGAGTCGGAGAAAGCGACTCTTCAGGCTAAGACACAGAAGTTAAAGACCACCCTCGAACGAAGCGAGGAGATGTTTCGGGAGCAGGCCGATGCACTGGAGGGGAGAAAGAGAGAGCTGAAAAAACCCTTGAGGAAAAAGATTGTCTCCTGCTCGACAAAGAACTATGGGAGAGCGAAAGGGAACGGCTGGAGAGGGAAGTCACAGACCTGAAGGCTGCTAGGATGCCTGTGGAGGGGGAACCCGGGGGGGTAACTGATTTGCGCACTCGCGCCAATTTTTTTGCTCGGATTCAAATCCTCGAGTCGGACTATGTCGATGCTTTAGCCGAGGGCTTCGAGGCTATCGTGAACCAGTTGTTCATGTTAAACCGAGGACTCAACACTGAAGGAACCGGGGTTCTATCCCAGGTGATTGACAGTCAGGTGGTTCCTCCTCCTGACTCTCCCGAGGTCGAAGTGGGCACTCTGAGGAGTGATTATCATTTTTTAGGTAACTCAGCTATTTGTATTTGCGCCTGCGTACCCGTGATTTTTGTAACATTTAGACATCGTCGGCTCTAACGGTCGACATTTATTAATGCTTTACTTCGCTTCAATGCCTTTATGTTTTTGTTGATGCTTGCCTATTTTTGACTTATTTATTCCATGAATATTTGTAAGTTCCATGTGGAGATTGTTGTACCCAAAAATTTTCCCTCTCATTTCATCAACATTTCTCATCACAAGACTCTTGGAACTCAAGATCAAGCTAGGGTTTGCTCTGCTCAAGACACCTCCTTGCACTGTTGACCTAAATTAGGGTTTGAGTTTGCACAGGAATGTTTTGACCTACAATGCCCAAAGTGACTTTCATACTTCATGTTGGACTCACAAGTTTGTCCATACCAAGTTTCAAGCCTTGATTCAAATTTTTGCCCAGTCAATTGGACAGTTGACCTAGAAATCAACTGTATTGGGGAAAAAGTCAATTGTGGCCAATTGACAGTCAAACCTCATGAAATTTGACCCACATCAACATTATGAACTCATATGAACCATTTGATCAAGTTTGGATCACAATTCCACAAGAAATTTGATCAGATCACCAAAAGGGCAAAATGGTCATTTTTAGGGTTTTGACTGCACAAAGGCAATTTTTGACTGTTTGACCTAGCCAATAGCAAAACAAGCTCACATATGGACTCAATAACTCAATGACATTGTCTTGACCCATTCAACAAGTTCAAAAGATCTCAAATGCATAGGATTGACAGATGAATTTTTCAGTCAACTGATCAAAATTTGACTGTACACTAAAAGGTCAAACTTTGACTTTTTGGTCAAAATCAAGTGCCAAGGGTCATTT